AATATATATATGTAGTAGTGCAGTTATATACTGTACAGTTAAATAGTGCAGGATAATAAGTAGATACTGTAAGTAAAGTGACATAAGGTAAAGTGACATGAGGTAAAGTGACATAAGGTAAAGTGACATTGTTCTGTGACATTCTGAAGTTGCACATTGCACATGATTTAAGAATTTACTTAATTACAGATGAATGAAATTTACAGGCTCAGCAGTTCTTATTGTACAGTCTGACAGCAGCAGGAAGGAAAGACCTACGGAACCCCTCCTTCACACAGCGAGGGTGAATTAGTCTGTCACTGAAACTGCTCTCCAGAGCAGAGAGAGTGTCCTGCAGGGGTGGCAGTCATGGTCCATATAATAATTATAATTCACAATTTAGTGAATTGTGAATTGAAAATAAAAATACAAACAATGTATTTGTGGACAACACTTGGCCTAGTATTGTCCACTTGAGAAAAACTGCCTTCTCAGTGAGGTTCACTGCACAGTGGAATGTTCTTTGAAAAGAGGATTCAAAGGTGTAATCGCTCTCATTAGGCCAAATGCTCCAACGGTATTGTCTCCATATACAGTGCATCCGGAAAGTATTCACAGCGCTTCACTTTTTCCACATTTTGTTCTGTTACAGCCTCATTCCAAAATGGATTCAATTCTTTTTTCCCTCACAATTCTACACACAACACCCCATAATGACAACAGGAAAATGTTTTTTTGAGATTCTTGCAAATTTATTAAAAATAAATAAACTAAGAAACCACATGCATGTACATGAGTATTCACAGCCTTTGCTTAATACTTTGTTGATGCACCTTTGGCAGCAATTACAGCCTCAAGTCTTTTTGACTATGATGCCACAAGCTTGGGACACCTGTCTTTGGGCAGTTTTGCCCATTCCTCTTTGCAGCACCTCTCAAGCTCCATCAATTTGGATGGGGAGTGTCGGTGCACAGCCATTTTCAGATCTCTCCAGAGATGTTCAATTGGATTCAAGTCTGGGCTCTGGTTGGGCCACTCAAGGACATTCACAGAGTTGTCCTGAAGCCACTACTTTGTTATCTTGGCTGTTTGCTTAGGGTCGTTGTCCTGCTGAAAGATGAAACGTCGCCCCAGTCTGAGGTCAAAAGCGCTCTGGAGCAGGTTTTCATCCAGGACGTCTCTGTACATTGCTGCATTCATCTTTCCCTCTATCTTGACTGGTCTCCCAGTTCCTGCCGCTGAAAAACATCCCCACAGCATGATGCTACCACCACCATGCTTCACTGTAGGGATGGTATTGGCTTGGTGATGAGCAGTGCCTGGTTTCCTCCAAACATGACGCCTGGCATTCACGGCAAAGAGTTCAATCTTTGTCTCATCAGACCAGAGAATAATTATACTCATGGTCTGAGAGTCCTTCAGGTGCCTTTTGGCAAACTCCAGGCGGGCTGCCATGTGCCTTTTACTAAGGAGCGGCTTCCGTCTGGCATCTCTACCATGCAGGCGTGATTTGTCTATTGCTGCAGAGATGGTTGTCCTTCTGGCAGGTTCTCCTCTTTCCACAGAGGAACACTGGAGCTCTGACAAAGTGACCATCGGGTTTTTAGCCACCTCCCTGACTAAGGCCCTTCTCCCCCGACCGCTTAGTTTAGATGGCCGGCCAGCTCTAGGATGAGTCCTGGTGGTTCCAAACTTCTTCCATTTACGGATGATGGAGGCCACTGTGCTCATTGGGACCTTCAAAGCAGCAGAATTTTTTCTGTACCCTTCCCCAGACTTGTGCCTCGAGACACTCCTGTTTCGGAGGTCTACAGACAGTTCCTTTGACTTCATGCTTGGTTTGTGCTCTGACATGCACTGTCAACTGTGGGACCTTATATATACAGCTTCTTCCAGCGGGGGCTTCAGGCAAAGTGGGGTTAAGTGTTTTGCCTAAGGACACAACGACAGCAATCATCAGTGCGAGTCGTGAAGTAGGTCTACAAAACAAGGCAGGCAATTAGTCAAACCAAAAAATAAAATAAATACTTGCACTCTCTCAAGCTAATTCACAAAAAAGTTTGAGCCAAAACCATTTTTTTAAAGTTATTGGCATACAAATACAAAAGACAATCCCCAAATCAACCCGCCAAAACTAATTCTGCAACTATTTAAAAAAATTATAAAATGTATACCTCTTGATGTTTTGGATATCTGAAGGTCAAAGCAAACGTATCTATTGGCGACTGGTCATGTTGATCATGCTGAGTATCAACATCAAATCATATTTTATTAACAAAATGTTTTATACAGAAAATGCAAAATAAAGTATTTTACAGTTAAAAAATCCCACATGTCCATGACCCGTTAACCCCACCACTATAACAATTGTAAACCGCTTTGTGACTCTGGTCTGTGAGAGGCGGTATATAAATAAAGATTACTACACTAAACAGACCCACCCCAAACCACATACAGTGCCTTGCGAAAGTATTCGGCCCCCTTGAACCTTTCAACATTTCGCCACATTTCAGGCTTCAAACATAAAGATATAACATTTTAATTTTTTGTCATGAATCAACAACAAGTGGGACACAATCGTGAAGTGGAACAAAATTTATTGGATAATTTAAACTTTTTTAACAAATAAAAAACTGAAAAGTGGGGCGTGCAATATTATTCGGCTCCTTTACTTTCAGTGCAGCAAACTCACTCCAGAAGTTCAGTGAGGATCTTTGAATGATCCAATGTTGTCCTAAATGACTGATGATGATAAATAGAATGCACCTGTGTGTAATCAAGTCTCCGTATAAATGCACCTGCTCTTTGGTAGTCTCAGGGTTCTGTTTAAAGCGCAGAGAGAACCATGAAGACAAAGGAACACACCAGGCTGGTCCGAGATACTGTTGTGGAGAAGTTTAAAGCCGGATTTGGATACAAAAAGATTTCCCAAGCTTTAAACATCTCAAGGAGCACTGTGCAAGCAATTATATTGAAATGGAAGGAGTATCAGACCACTGCAAATCTACCAAGACCTGGCGTCCCTCCAAACTTCCATCTCAAACAAGGAGAAGACTGATCAGAGATGCAGCCAAGAGGCCCATGAACGGATGAACTGCAGATAACTACAGCTGAGTTAGGGATGGTGTGTTCAGGGTGATGAGTTGTGTTGCTTTTACGCCAAACACATCGTTTTGCATTGTGGCCAAAAAGTTCGATTTTGGTTTCATCTGACCAGAGCACCTTCTTCCACATGTTTGGTGTGTCTCCCAGGTGGCTTGTGGTAAACTTTAAAAGAGACTTTTTATGGATATCTTTGAGAAATGGCTTTCTTCTTGCCACTCTTCCATAAAGGCCAGATTTGTGCAGTGCACGACTGATTGTTGTCCTATGGACAGACTCTCCCACCTCAGCTGTAGTTATCTGCAGTTCATCCAGAGTGATCATGGGCCTCTTGACTGCATCTCTGATCAGTCTTCTCCTTGTTTGAGATGAATGAATTCATGGTTCTCTCTGCGCTTTAAACAGAACCCTGAGACTATCAAAGAGCAGGTGCATTTATACGGAGACTTGATTACACACAGGTGCATTCTATTTATCATCATCAGTCATTTAGGACAACATTGGATCATTCAAAGATCCTCACTGAACTTCTGGAGTGAGTTTGCTGCACTGAAAGTAAAGGAGCCGAATAATATTGCACGCCCCACTTTTCAGTTTTTTATTTGTTAAAAAAGTTTAAATTATCCAATAAATTTCATTCCACTTCACGATTGTGTCACACTTGTTGTTGATTCATGACAAAAAATTAAAATCTTATATCTTTATGTTTGAAGACTGAAATGTGGCAAAATGTTGAAAGGTTGAAGGGGGCCGAATACTTTCGCAAGGCACTGTATATCATTAAGTAAGTAAGTAAGCACACACACGAACTCACACCCACACACACACGTGCACGCACACACACACACACACGTGCAGACACGCACATAAACACATCCAACTGATGTGTGTGTTTGTGCACCCAGCTTAAGATACATCTGCACCCTGCTGTCACAGGGGACACCACAGGACCCAGAGGAGAGAGGAGGCTCAAGACCTCAACTAGGTCCAAGAGCTAGACCCCCACAGCCACAGCTAAAAGTAATGTATGTAAAATGGAATAATGAATAATAGATACTAATCAAAATTGAATCTAAAAAGGTGTGTCTTGAGCCTGCTTTTAAAAATATGATTGAGGTCCGGAGGAGCGCTGGAAAGATGCCTCAACGTGAGTGTGTGTCCGAACTTTTGGAATGGTTTGGAGTCTACTGCCGGGGGCCGGGAAGGTTCATACGGTAAAAGTAGTTCTTGAGCTGTTTGCGCACAGTAGCAGAATGTAAACAAGAAGAGAAACGGAAACTTAACTCGGACAACGAGGTTGTCGCTGGAGTTAGTAGTAGTGCCACCAGCTGGACGGAGAGTTGAACTACAGCACAGTTGCTCTTGCACGGTTACGAAAACAAGCCTTTGTGACCGCGGGCCGTCTTCACACTTCTTTGACAACTATCCGGGCCACTTGGCCTAGTTTGTTTGTAAAAACCTATGTGACCGTGTCTAAGAAGGCCCAAAACCATTAAGACAACATTAAAGAAAAAAACCTTAAATTCCATCTTGAAATACAAGGAGAGCCAATACAGCAATTTTAAAACCAGTGTAATGTGGTCCCGCCCCCTGGTCAGGACACGTGCTGCCGAGTTTTGGAGTAATTGTAAACCTGCAATGTTGTTTTTGGGAAAACCAGAGAGCCCCGAGAGAGGGCATCATCCCAGACCCTCAAACCGTTTCTCTTTCGGCTTAATTTGCTGGTTTGACTTCTCTTCCAGTCCTTGATAATGTGTCATCCCGTTGCTAATGGTAACCCACAAACTAAAAAACTCTGATCAATGTTGTTGATAGACTCTTTGTGGAGCTTGCTGGTGCATGTTCGGACTGCACGCTTCACATATAGATCCTCTCAGGCTTGTTGCTCTGTGAGCCATTATGCTGGAATAACACATTATTTAGAGCCTTTTTTGTCTTGCACTTGGCCTCGGCGGTGTAGGAATGCTAATGAGTGGATCGTGCCCTGCAGGAGGCTGCTGTGCCATATGCGGAGCCCCAGGGAGTGGCACCAGTCCTCCGTACACATGATTGTGGTGTAGGTGCAGGCAGCTGGAGCCACATACCACTGCTACATCACTCTTTCTCTGCAATATGGAAGAGACAAAAGAATAGAAAAAAACGTAAGAATGATATGTAGGTTTGTCAATCTAATCACTTTCACATAATGATTTAGTAAAATACATGTTGACATCTGTTTCAAAATGTCTTAAAAAATTCAAAATTCTAAAGCATGAACACCTAATTTTATTTGTATTATTATGTTATGTATTACAATGTATCATTATTCATTATTTTAAAAACACACATGCTAGTTGTCTGATCTTAAGGCATCCAGCTTAAGCTCTCATTAATAATGTAACACTAATTTAACATACTGGACATAGTGGTTATATCTATACAATGGACACTATACCAATAGGCATAGGGACTTATAGTATTACATCATAAAATATCTTGTATTTTTCTCATTACATAATAATAATAAGATAAAGCTAAATTAATCTATGTGAATCAGTTTCCAAAACCAGTTTGTTTCCTTACAATGTAAGTTGACTTTATAAATTATGTTAAGATGGGACATTTTAGGAGTTGCTTGAGTGATCCATGCATGTTTTCTTTGATATCACCACCAGCCCACTTGATTGTCTATTCTTCCTTAATCTGTGATGATGAAAATCTTCAGAATATGAATTTCAATTAGGTTCATACAAGGAGTCATAATGTCATAATGATTTTTTTTTTTTTAACCAGAAATAATTTAATAAAGTGAACATCAGTTACTTTTCAAAGTGTGAAGAGAGAAGGACAATTTTTAAAGACAAGCACTGGTTTGAACCGCCTCTCCCTCGCAGCCTCCTGATTGGTCGTCATGAAGTCAAATGCTTGTGGTCCCTTTCTCTGTTAAAAGTTATCTTCATTGCCCCACTAAAGGAAATTGGTTTTGCAACAAGAAACAGACAACAGTTCTCCTCTAGCAAATCTTACTGGTCAAAAATATGTTATAGTTGAAAAATATATAAAAAGTACATAAACGCATTTTGGTGCTGAAAAGGCACATTTCTGCATATCCAGCATTCTACATCCTTGTTAAATATGCAAAATGTTTTTGTGGCAGCAGACGAGATGCCAGGATCCAATCAGGAGCGGTACCACTCTCTGTACCCATCAGCTACTCAAGTTGATTTGGCGACACAACGCTCCTGATTGGTCTGTTGTTTGGGATCATATCACAATATAAACACCCTCATGACCAAAGAGAGCGCTAAACAACTCTGAGCTACACTTTGTCCATGAGCACTACCCTGTTGAGCTTCATTAGGCTCCGGCAGTGCTGAGTTGCGGCTCTTCTGTACATTTCTATCAATCTGAAATTAGCTGGATGCGTCCAGCACCGAACAAGAGGTTGTGCACAGCAAAGAGCTGACTCCTTTGAGGCAAAGTTAAAAAATGTCACGTGTTAAAATAGTTAGATATTGAATTCAGTGGATTTAGGGTTGTGTTTTTTTAATTTGTCCCTCATGGTGCAACCAGGTCAAAAAAGCACAACTTTAAATTAGACGTAAATCTATTTATGTAGATGTATATTACTATCAATTATCATTTTATGTGAAAAATATTGGAAATTAAGTCCAGCTCCCAGCAGCAGTCCAATACTCCATTGTGGCCTACAGAGGAAAAAGTTTCCCCATGCCTGAGATGTGGGGTTGCTGCTGTCATCTATGTATATACACACGAAGGCTCATAAAGGGGAAACGCTATCTTAAATATGTTCAGAAATTTTTCTGTGATTAATTCTAACAACAAATATCTTGAAAAACAGGTCCAAATTTGTTTTTAATTCACAATATTCACAACATTCCAACTTTATTACGAATGGGGTTGTACTTGGTGAATGCAAAGTGCACTTTACCTAACCATGCTGCTGCTGATGCTAATGTAATCAGCAGCAGTGAGGAGGATCATTAGGGAGCATGGGGCTGTAATCATGCATTCTCTCCCATGTAACAGTTTGTGTGGCTGGGGGATATGCAGCTCTGCAAGTATAATTCTCACAAAAATATGCACAACTGTGAGAAAGGCGGGGGCCCTCGGAGAGTGATGTTTAATTTTCACTGTTGCATTTTAGTTTTGATGTTGAAATATTTTGTCACAGCAACAAAGCATATTAAACTGTTGACTTATTCAGCAAGTTGTTTTTGGGGATTAGATTTATATTCTCAGACATATTAGGTTGCCAGGGATTGAACTCAACGCACTGCCTAGAAATGCGCTGTAAGTGTTATGGGCAGGAGTCAAAGTGGGCGTGGAGTGTGTCACGGACAACACAAGCATAAAGTCAATGCAGTTTCTGTCATCATACACCTATAACAACCTGTGTTTGTGTAAACAATATAAAGAATGTAAAACTTGACATCCTACATTTGCAAACTTAAGGCCGTAAAAGCTTTACATTTGTCACAAATGTTACAAATTGTGAATATATGTTGTTCCACGCCACACACGGATGCACAAATATATTGATTTAGGTTGTGTATGTGTTAATGCTGGAAGAACCCATTAGGGGAGCCTTGAGGGTAGCCATGTTGCAACATTATTCCCTCATCAGTCACATGGTAGCCTGGCCTTAGCCATCCATACACTCCGTTCAATCATCATTTCACTGCATGTAACGTCTGGGTCTAGTCCCTGGGTTAGCGATTACAATCGGTTGAATTTCAACCAACCATTCAGAGAGCGCGGAAGGCAGGTGTTGTAGTTAGTTGAGGGTGATGTCAAGAGTTTGCGTCGAACAGGCAGGTTGTAGTTTGGTAATGGCGAAAAATGCGATAGTAAAGTAATCCGGTCTGGTTCTATCAAGAAATTGGATCCGGAGCAAGGGTAATCAGATTCAGATTCAGATTCATTTATTACTTAGTCTCCTGAGGGAGAAATGTGTCTTGGAGCAGGGGGGGGGTCAGTAGCACCCACAGATACAGACAAAAAGACGAAACAAAAAAAACAAGGACAAGACACAAAAAAAAAAAAAAAAAAAAAAACAGGCAATACACACATAACATTTGTTGACACTGATGCACAATCACCTGATGTTATTCAGCAGCTTTATGGACTGAGGCACAAAAGAGTTCTTAAACCTGTTGCTTTTGCACAGTGGGATCCTGTACCTCCTCCCAGAATGCAGCAGTTCATATTGCGAGTGGAGAACATGAGTGGAGTCTCTGATGATGTTATTGGCCATGTCTAATCACTGACTGCTCAACAATAGTCTGAGGTGAGATCAGAGTGGACGGCTACACTACCATGATCTTCCCAGCTAGTTTTTGCAGTCTCTGGATCTGAGATTTGTATTTCACTGTGAGATTCCCAAACCAGCTCACGATTCCGTATCTCAGTATAGATTCAATACTCGCTCTATAGAAGGTCAACATAACATTTTGGCTCACTCCAAATACTCTAAGACTACGAAGGAAGTGCAGCCGCTGATGGATCTTTGCACAAAATATTCGACAAATGATTGTGCCAACATAGTCCTCCATTGTCCATTTCCACCCCAAGGTACCTATAATGAAACCTGCTCAATTATTTTTCCATTAATGTTTAGCAAATGTAATCGCTGGAAAAAATTGTGCCGCTACTCCCCACGGGCTCCGTAAGCGGCAAAGAAGATGGCTAGGCTAAATGCTAAATGCTAACAACAGACTCGGGCGCACCACATACGTCACGGTAAACTCAGATCCAATCGTTTCAATCTGCAAAAGGAGTTAGCCCCTCCCACCTGTAAACGGAGCTCAATGGAGCATCTCTTGACCTTACTACGAAATGTCATTTGTACTATGGTGTGGTACTACCAGGCTAGTCACATGGTGGAAAGGACTCAAAATGCAGGAATGCAGAAAAACAGGGAAAAAAAAGTATGAATGATGAAAATTAAATCAAAATTCAAACAAAGCTCAGGAACCGGGAAAACAGACCGACAACGACAGAGACAATACAATGGACCAGGAACAAGCAGAGAGGGGCTCAGGGTACATACGGACAGGTGAAACAAATCAGGGCGGGGCCGACAATCAACAGGGAACAGGACAGGAAGTCAAACTAAAACCAAACCAACTAAGAACAGATTTAAAAATTAAAACCAAAGAACAAAATAAAAAAAAATCCACACCGTAACAGTCTGATTCTTGAGTGTGTTATTGGAATAGCACCACACTGTGACAGCGAGGGTCAGGAAACGCATCCCGAGAGCAACAAATCTCCTCTGCGTAATGTGACGCACAATATAAAATTTGATTTTTCCTACTTTTGTTCGAATTGAGTAATGTATGCAACTTCTTTCTCTAATACATGCTATAACGTGAATACAACTTAAATACAGAAAATATGATCACTGATGCAAGAAAACATTGTATTTCTATGGTAACTAGCACATGCTCCAAGCTGAGATTGCTCTGAACTTGTCTAGAACCAGTCTAGGATCAAGATAATTTCACAAACGTAATTACTTTGAAATAAACTACATAGAAAAAGAAAAAGCAGGGGTTTTAGACCTATATTCACAAATATGCTACTACTGTACACATTACAGAATACTGATCCAGGTATGCTTGCAAACTATGTTTTCATGACTTTCAAAATATGTATTTATGTTTTTATCTTTTCTTCTGGCATAAAGACCTCGAGATTTGAACTGCACATAAGCATCCTCACCACAGCCTTCACCTCATCTTCGTATGTCGCATGACCAGCCTTGAGGCGGTTCTTGTGAGACGGACAGAGCACAATGTGACCCTCGGCTCGGGCCAGAATGAGCTGTGCGTCTGGGGACAGGCTGCTGAGGCGGGCCCCGGTGCATTTAGGACAGCAGCTCATCCGTCTGCCACTCTAATACAGCGTGACAACTTTATTACTCTGGCCCATCCTTGAACGGGCTGCAGTCTGTGGGGGTGGGTGCGCAAGAGGGGCCAGGCCAGAGCGCTCCATCACAGCACAGAGAAAAGGGTGGATTCACAATGTCCCAGAGGAATTATGATGGATACCAGGGTTAATAGATTGTCCGCCAAAAAAGAGTCTCAGAAAATACAGTTCTATGTAGCAGGCTCAGCATAATCATTCTCTCAATGTCTGTCACTCTACTTTCACATAGATAGATAGAGATAAATCAGAACAGTATAGGAACAAGGAGAACACAACCGCAAAATAAGAAAAAGAAAAATAAGCGGATCAGTGAGTGGATGCAATGCATTTTTCTCCAGCTAAATGCGGACAAAACCGAAATGATTGTCTTTGGTCCCGAGAAACAAAGAGAGACCGTCATTTGTCACCTTCAGTCTCTCTCCCTAAGGCCTTTAAATAAGGTCAGAAATCTGGGAGTAATAATGGACTCTGACTTAAACTTCAATAGCCACATTGGATCGGTAACATCAGCAGCTTTTTATCATCTGAAAAATATTGCCAAAATTAAAAATATTGTGTCCAGGGCAGACTTGGAGATTCTTATCCATTCTTTTGTTTCCAGTAGGCTGGATTACTGCAATGGCCTGCTCACAGGTATCTCCAAACATGCAGTAAAACAGCTGCAGTATATTCAAAATGCTGCAGCCCGAGTCCTGACTAGAACCAGGAAGTACGACCACATTAGTCCGGTCCTCAGGTCTCTGCACTGGCTTCCCGTGGCCCAGAGGATAGACTTTAAAGCAGCTCTCCTGGTGTACAAGTCTCTCCATGGCCTTGCACCAAAGTACATCCATGATATGCTAGTCCCATATGAACCAGCCCGGACTCTGAGGAGCGCAGGGACGGGACTCTTGTTAGTGCCCAGAGTCAGGACTAGACAGGGGGAGGCTGCTTTTCAGATTTATGCAGCTAAAGTCTGGAACAGTCTTCCTGAGGATGTGAGACTGGCTGCCTCTCTGTCAATGTTCAAATCCATGTTAAAGACTTTTCTTTTTTCCTGTGCATACAACTAGAGAATTTTATCTTTTTAACACACCTTGTTATTTATTGTTGTAACTTTTTGTGTTTTTAACTATTTTATTGTTTTTAATTACTTGTGTGATTCTTATGTTTTTAAATTACTTATGTGATTTTAATGCTTTTTAATTACATATGTGTTTTTAATTGTATTTTAATGGTGATGATTTGTGCATTGTGTGGTGTGGACTGTGAGGCGCTTTGTGTTGCCCTGTGCAGGAAAAGCGCCCTATAAATAAAGATTGATTGATTGATTGATTGAATATTAAGTCCAGCACAACTCTTTGAAAAATAAAAAAAACAGTGTTTTACCTTTTATCTCTTACTTAATTACATAAAACAAAGTATAAGCCTGTATATTCGAGTGCAATTAAGAATACACTTTTTTAAATGAATCTGCAATACACTCTACTGCAAGAGTACCCGGTTTATTGAAGTAGTACGTCATTAGGTCTGTGGGTTCAAATGTTCCCAGTGATTATGAAACTACTGTTAACAACACGAGGCTCTAAGCTAAAAGGGATTAAAGTTGACAGGGTTAACTTAATTGACAGGTCCAGGATAGAAACAAAATGGCCACAGCTGCCCTTGCAAGAACCAGTACCATCGGCCCCTCCGACCACCTTCACACATTCATGGACACACCAGACTCATTCTAGGCAATGTGGGTGAAGTGTCTTTCCAGCCACAGCCGCCCAACTGTGGCCCCTGATGTTACCAGAGGTCTCACATCACAGTACTTACAAGAACCTGCCCTGCTTAGCTTCAGAAGTCTGACAGAATCTGGATTTCATATGCAAGTGGAGCCACTATAATACTAGCAGTGATAGAATGTTGAATGTAATGTTGTTGGAGGACACATGCAGTGCTTGAGAAGTGTGCTGTAATAAAAGCACACATAAATCCTCAAAAAAGAGAGGCTGCAAAACTTATCTGCCATGCATTTCACAACTTCACCCTCACATTTCAAAGTTGATTAAAACTACACTAAAGCCACTCTTTGTAAGCACTGTTTAAAAGTTCATAAAAAGTGTTCCCAAAGCCACTATCAGCAGATGTCACTTCGCCCTTTACTACGTACCAATGTTTACACCAAGGGAAGAGAAAACCGCAGTTTAATGTTGTTCCGATTGCATTTTAAGACAATCATTTTGCTTTTATTAAGTGAGTGACTGTTTCCCCCATGGAATGACATAAATAGGGTATGTGGCAGTAAACTAAAGAGAGTCCTCGGGATATTTTACAAATGGTCTCAATAAAATGTTGTGATGTAGTTTAAGCTCTACTGCAGGGGCTAAAGTTGTCAAACGCACGGAGGGCAATTCATTAAAAGTGCTATATGGAGTATTCAAAACAACTTTTCCAAGGTTACAGAGAGCAGGGAAGAATATATTCTTTAAATGCGATACATGCTGCATTATTCTGAATTGACCTTTGATGTTCTATATTATTATTGTATTATTCTTACTAAAAGTTGATGTTTTGCAATATTCATTGCGTACATTTGTCCAAAGAGATCAGTGTTTTTTTGCTGGCCTATTTAAATTATAATGCATCATTTTTTGTAATAAATTGCATTTTTTGACACTTAAAGATGCTTCAAATGCCACTATTATTTTATATTGTACAGTGGTGACAAGGTAATACTATAGCCACAATTGCCCTAGGGCACACTGACAGAAATGGGGCAAGCAGTATGTGCCACCAGCCCCTCTGCTCACCACCAATCATTCCCACACACACACAAACAAAACTCATAGGCAATGTGGGTGAAGTGTCTTTCCCATCAGCCCAAGTCTCCCATCACAGTTCTAACCATACCCTGCTCTGCTTAGCTTTAGATGTCTATCAGTACCTGGCTTTCACATGCCAGGTAGCACCCTTCAAACCATCCACATGAGCCAGTAGCCTATATTCTCTCCAAAAAAGTAAAAATGTTGCCCCATTGAGATTCAAGTCGCATCTAGAATCTCCATGTAGCAAGAAAACCAAACATTCTTATTTCAAAGACCAAAGCGATGTTTCTCTTTTCAAGTGAGAATTGGCTTATCTCTTCAGAGTACTGATTACAATTACAAATCATGACCGTACCTGAAGCACTCCAAACTGCCAAACAAAGGCTCCATGCCTTGACCCGCCGCTTACAGAGGGACACTAAAGAGCTTAATTCTCTTTAGTGTCAGGCTAGTCTAAACAAAATCTGCGAAAGTGTAGATTCTGTGGCAGGGTAACAACACAGTTCTGGCAGAGCAGAGAAGATAGAAGCAGCACAAAACAATAGTGCACTGTGTCTTCAACTAGACGATCCTCTGAGCTCATCATCTCTGGCTGGTACTTCTGTGTAACATTATAAAATCATTCTTGCTGTTCTTCAAGAGTTCATATGTTGTATTTGTGCTGTGTGTGTATGTTTTTAGTGTAATTTTTGTATTTTTTGATGATGCTGTTGATGCATCCATCTTTGATTGGTTTTAACACATAAAGGTCATGCATTTCTGACTGTGTGGATCTCAGAAAGAATAAATACTATATTGACAGTAACTCATGGTTACAGTGTTGGGGAGTAACCGAATACATGCAACTCTGTAAAGTATTCAGAGTACTCTTTTTGAGTAACTATCGTCCTTTACAGTTACTACTTCAAAGTCTAGAATTTGGAAAAACAAAGTTACTTTTTGAAAATGAGAGGAATACATAATTTCTCATATTACAAATGATTTGTTTTACAAACATATACAGTACAGACCAAAAGTTTGGACACACCTTCTCATTCAAATATTTTTTATTTTCATGATTATGAAAATTGTAGATTCACACTGAAGGCCTCAAAACTATGAATTAACTCATGTTGAAATATGTACAAAAAAAATTATATTCTCGCTTCTTCAAAGGAGCACCTTTTGCTCTGATTACTGCTTTGCACACTCTTGGCATTCTCTGGATGAGCTTCGAGAGGTAGTGACCTGAAATGGTCTTCCAACAGTCTTGAATGTGTTCCCAGAGATGCTTAGCACTTGTTGGCCCTTTCACCATCACTCTGTGGTCCAGCTCACCCCAAAACCATCTGGATTGGGTTCAGGTCCGGTGACTGTGGAGGCCAGGTCATCTGGCCCAGCACCATGGATCTATAATAATAACTGGGTATTAGTAGCTTATAGCTGTCCCACCTATGGGCCCAGGGGGCGCCCGTGTATACTGCAGAAAAAAGTCCCACAGAACTCAATGTAAACTAAAACAGCTGGACCTCAGCTGACAGAGAACCTACAGCTTTCTTAAAGGTTAGATTTTGTGGGGATTTTAGTGTCCCTTGTCATCCTGAACTCTTTTTCTTCTTAAATCCTTCGGTTTTCTTTAAATCCACACTTTACTGCCACAAACTCTGCAGTTTTCCTTCCCGGTCTGACTCTGCTCTACCGCTGCTCTGATCAGCAGCTCTGATTGGTCAAAGCGCGGCCGAGCCCCTCTGTGCACGTGCATGAGAGCCCCACACTCATGTTTGGTGCAACGCATCATGGGAGCTCGTCCACTGTGCAGAACCGGGAGGACCAGACGATGACCCAAATATAGGCATATATATATATATATATAAACAATGAGCCAATTCCAACTTCTCACACCAACTTGAGTCAATCAAATCCTTACTTCACTTGTCAGACGTGGAGCGGAAAGCCGCAAGAGAAAACTAACCAATTAAAGTGAGCTGAGCTTAAACTAAATCTCTATTATAAAGCAAAATGAACTGGTCCTGGCTGAATGCAACAGAACCAAATTGACTTTTGGAGAATGGAATGAGTTGGAGGACGGAATGTGCCCCAAACACGCACCTATTTTATATCTTTTCCAGTCACACCTCTTTCATTGCATTCCCTGCAGAAGGCTGTAAGGTGGGACTGACATGG